AAAAAAAAAAAAAGAATTTAAAGGGTAAAAAGGATGGGAGTAAGGTACCAGAGGAAGCAAAAGGGGATAGGTTAAATGAACAGAGATTAACCTTGAATGAGGGGTTTTTACCCTCTTGAAGATGGAAGAAAAATGGTAAGGATTGTATTAGGTGTCTACCTTTTGAAACAGAGCTCCTGCTTCCACACTCAGTGTTTCAGATTAAGCTAAGCGTAGGAAAAAAATGCTTTCTTTATTTTTTTTTTCCTACGTCTTCCTTCCAATCTTCTGTTTGCCTGGCATAATAGTACATCTCTTTGATCTTTTAGTTACATAGTTTTTTATTTTTATTTATTTTATTTATTTATTATTTTTTTTTTTTTTGCAGTTTTTGGCCAGGGCCTGGGTTTGAACCCACCACGTCTGGTATATGGGGCTGGCGCTCTACTCCTTTGAGCCATAGGTGCTGCCCTAGTTTTTTATTTTTTGTTTGTCAATATGCAGTCTTTGCCAAGCTCATCGGTAGTCCATTTATTTAGTTAAATTTGACTGTGGGACATAAGTTAGCCAAAGAAATAGCTATTATTCTTAGCTTTTTATTATACTTGGTAACTATTTTTGTTTGTAAAACTGTGAGGTAGTGCTATTCCCAGTTTTCATTTAGTCTTGCCAAAACACTTACAATAGCTTTAGGAATAAAACTGACTTTTAAAACACTGTACCTAGTGTTCTCTTCCCTAGCACATGGAATTTGTCCTAGCCAAGTTTGTGTCTCTTTTCATGACTAAAAGTATTGACTGTTGGGACTTTGTAAACCTAAATAGTAACTGATTCTGAGTCAGTGTTGTGACTGTTCTTTAATTAGTGATATCAGCACATGGTGTGTACTACGAAGACACACTTTATTCTTTCTGTCTTAAATTTTCTTAGAGCTGGCCTTATGTGAATAAGCAGTTGTTCTTTTGCTTAAAGTGAATTAAAAGATTGTTTTAAAAAAGTTGTAAATTAAATGAAGATTATTTCTGTTTGTTCAATATTCCTAATCCACTTAGTATATTTGTGCATATTAACTAAATTTATAGTAGGAAATTTAGACTTTGATCTCATTTAAGCCTTACTCTGGAGTAAAATCGTGAACCAGATCTGTTTGGGTATGAAAAAATGATGATTTTAATGCTAATAACTGTATTTCACATTTTGGAAATGTATTTTTAGTGTGCTAGTAAATAATACAACTGAAGTCGAAATTGAAGGTTTCATATGTAAGTAGAGGGGTCCCTGTATGGTGGAAAAAGCTCTAGACTGGGAGTAAGGAGACGTGAGAACTAAAATTCTGGTTCAGTTATGGCACTGAACTAACTATATCCTTGAACAATTGGCTTACTTAATCTCTCAAAAGTAAGTAGTTTTGACTAGGACAGTGTCTTCCAGCTGTCAGATTTTGCGATTCAGATCTATTGAGAAAGGAAAAAACTACAACCTATTATTTTGGCTAAAGGTTCTACTGAGTTTTGCTTTCATAAAGCTGTAATGCCAATTTGTGTAGTTAGAAGTACTGCATATTTTTTCATTTATATTTTATTTTTATTTTTATTTTTTATTTTTTTGAGACGGAGCCTCAAGCTATCCCCCTAGGTAGAGTGCCATGGCATCACGCTCACAGCAACCTCCAACTCCTGGGCTCAAGCG